GCCGCCGACTATGCCCGAGCCCACCTCCGGGCAGTCGCCGCGCGCCGCCCGGTCCCCGGCTGGGGACGATGCCAGACGCCCGGGAGAGGCCAGGACAGCGGCGGCGGCGCGATGGTAGTGACAAGCTCTGCCCGAGGCGGCGGCGGGGACCGCGAGCCCTCCAGGCGGCGGGGCTGCGGACTTTCGGCGCCTGGGGCCGCGGCGCTGCTGGCCGGGGCGAGCTGCCTGTGCTACGGCCGCTCCCTGCAGGGCGAGTTCGTGCACGACGACGTGTGGGCGATCGTCAACAACCCCGACGTGCGGCCCGGCGCCCCGCTGCGCTGGGGCATCTTTTCCAACGACTTCTGGGGCAAAGGCATGGCCGAGAACACCAGCCACAAGTCCTACCGGCCGCTCTGCGTCCTCACCTTCAAGTGAGTCTCTCACCCCGCCGCCGTTTCTCCTCACCCCCAACCCGGGCTGGGAGAAGTTGCGGGACTGGCTTGGGGACCGTTTCTTTTCTCGCCGCCCCTTCCCCTCCACGCCTCCCTCCTCTCCAGGCTGCCCACGCCCCTCTGCTCAGTGGTCCTCCGCCCGGCTGCTTGGGATTCCCGGGGCGGTTCAGGAGGCGCGGGCCGGGACTTGGAATTGAGTTTCTCGAGAGCCTGCGCTCTGGGCGGGCAGGTCTCTGGGGCCAGGGCTGGGAGTGGGCTGGTGGAGCCCACCCGCCTCCGCACACCTCACCCCCGTGGTACGGTGGCCAAGTGAGACCGGCGCGGGCCCGACGAGATCCGGGCGGGTGGCTGTGGTGGTGAAGCTTCGAAGTTGGGGGTTTCTCGGCGGCTGCTGGTGAGCTGTGCAGACGGGGAGTGTGTCATCTTCTTGGGAGTCGTGAGCTGCCAGGGCTTGCGTGGGTTTGGAGAGGAGCAGCACAGCGGGCAGAGGCGCTCTCCCGACCTGCAGACTTGGCTGCTCCTGGAGCCTCGCCGATCTTCGGGAAGGGCTCCAGATTTAGACTTTAAAAGGTGCAAAGCAAAGGAAGGCAGGAAAGCGTGGGATCCTCTGGGGGTCCTGGTGTCCCAGTTGAAGTAGTGTTTCTTTTACCATCTCGGAGTCATGATTCAGCATTTCAAGTGTGAATAAGGTGCAAAGGGAATCGGGAGAACGCCAGGGTTTTGCGGGCTGGAGTATTTTCTTGAATTTAAAAGACGGCTAGCTTCAGGTGGAAGGGGAGAAAGGCTGATGCCAGGGGAGTGCTGGCTCGCGCGTCATGAGCTTGACTCAGCTCCTTATAATTTGGCTCGGCATTTAAGCTTATAATGTGCCGGACAGAACTGTTGAAATAATATTGGTTCAGTAACATCAGCGTTTTAAGCATTTTCCAACGGGTGTAATATGAACCCGTCTTTGTGGTACTGGTCATTCGAGACAGGGTAAACAGCTTGAAAAGCCTGCCCAGGCCGGGAGGCTGAGGTCTCTTGACAGGTGGCTGATGACTTAGAAAAGGAAACCAGAGCGATTGTACTTAATTCTTCAACTGAAAGTTGAATGTTTTAAGGCGGGTGAGGAAATAGTACATTTGAGTCTGAAGAGAGTGTTTTATAAACATTTATCCTTTTGGAAAGCAGTTTTGTTTTTCAGCTGAAAGATAATCTCAGCTACTAAGTTGCTCAGTCCTTTTTTTCCCTAAATGTTTCTTAAAATGGCACATTCTTAGATGGCACGATATGTGTGTAACTTCTAAATTGACCTGCTTTTTCATTTATTACAGAGAGGTTTGTTGGTTAGTTTAAGGTGTGGTAGCTCACAGCATGAGGTGTGCTGGGCTTATAACAGCCACGGAGACCGTCTAGGTCCCTCCTCCGAGCTTTTTCTGTGTACAAAGATCAGGGTCAAATGCCTGTGCCCACTTGGTGGAGGGTGGGGAAGAGTGTCTTCACTTCTTGACTTTCTAAAAAAAAAAATTTTTTTAATTCGTGCAGGTGGTGGCAGGGACAGAAGAGAGAGAAGGAGAGGAAAGGAGTAGACAGTGAGGCAAGGCCATTGATGAAGAGGAAAGCAGGTGTTGTGCAGAACAGGGGCAAAGGAGAAGGAGAATTGAGGGGGCAGGGGGGCACCTCTTCATTTATGATACTCACTGGTTATAAAAAGCAGCCTGGTTGCTCAGATGCATTGCTCTTTGTAGAGTGTGTCTTACTGGTTGTGTAAGATATACCTCTTTTTTTGAGAAGATTGAGTTACAAGTCTAGGGTGCACTAACTGGAAAGTAATAGTGCCTCTTCAGAAAGAGAAATTTAACTAACCTTTCTGTACTCACAGGCATTGATTTGAATAAGACGTGGAGGCTTTCTCATCACAGTCACCTGAGGTGAAACTGCATCTTCCAGTGCAATAGCGTGAGGCTGGGCATGTATAAGGGACTACGTTAACGATGTTAGGCCCACACAACTCTGAAGATCGTTGCAAGGAAGGACAGAAAATCACATTTATTAACTATTCAGTGTGAACCAAGCATTGGCCTAGGAACTTTACATAGATCATGACTTTAATGATTTTTATTTTAGGTAATCGGTGAAAACACAAAGTGGCCTTTGAAATATATTCAAACTATCTTAACTGTATCTTAAGCTTGTTTGAGCAGAAATTTTGAGAATTGAAAACCATTCAATTAATTAATGATTAATTTTGTTGTAAGAACACCTAACATGAGATCTACCATCTTAAATTTTTAAGTGCACAATACAGTATTGTCAGCTATAATGTTGTACAGCCACTCTCTAGCACTTATTCCTCTAGTATAATTGAAACTATATACCTGTTGAACAGTAACTCTTGGCGCCCCTCTCCTCTCATCCTACCCTTGGCAACCACCATTTTACTATTTCTAAGAGTTTGACTACTTTAGGTACCTCACATAAGTGGACTTCTGCGACTGGCTTATTTCACGTAGCATAATGCTCTCCAAGTTCTTCCATGTTGTTGCACATTGCAGGATTTCCTCCTTTTTAAGGCTGAATAATATTACATCGTGTATATGTATCACTTTTCTTTATCCATTCATCTAACGATAGACACTTAGGTTGTTTTTATATCTTGGTTATTGTGAATAATGCAGTGAACATGGGAGTGCATATATCTCTTCAAGATCCCGATTTCAATTCTTTTGGATATATACCCAGAAGTAGGATTGCTGAATCATATGGTAATCGTATTTTTAATTTTTTGAGAAAACTCTATCCTGTTTTCCATGGTGGCTGCACCATTTTACTTTCTAGCCAATAGTGTACAAGGGTTCCAAATTCTTCACATCCTTGCCAATGCTTCCTTTTTTTTTTTTCATAAAAGCCAACCTAACAGGAGTGAGGTGATAACTCATTGTGGTTTTGATTTGCATGATTAGTGCATGATTTGCATGATTAGATTTTGATGATTAGTGATGTAAGCATCTTTCCAAGTACCTATTGGCCATTTGTATGTCTTCTTTGGAAAAATGTCTATTCAAGTTCTTTGCCCATTTTAAAATCAGGTTATTTAATTTCTTCTGCTTTAAGTTGTAGGAATTCCTTATGTATTTTAGATATTAACAACATATGAGATATTTGGTTTGCACATATTTTCTCCTCTTCTGTAGGTTGCCTTTTCACTCTGTTGATTTGTTTCCTTCGCTGTGTGAAGGCTTTATGGTTTGATGTAGTCCCACTTGTCTAATTTTGCTTTTATTGTTTATACTTTTGTTATCATATCTAAGAAACCACTGCCAAACCTAACATCATGAAGTTTTTCCCCTGTGTTTTTCTTCTAGGAGTTTTACAGTTTCAGGTCTTACATATAAATTTTTGATACATTTTTGGGTTGATTTTTGTGTACGTTGTAAGATAAGGGCCTAGTTTCGTTCTTTTGCATGTGGATAACCAGTTTTCCCAGTACCATTTATTGAAGAGACTATACTTTCCCCATTGTGTATTCTTGGAACCCTTGTTAAAGATCATTTGACCACATATATGTGGGTTAATTTCTCTATTCTTTTCCATTGGTCTATATGTCTGTTTTTATGCCAGTACTGTACTGTTTTAATTACTGTTAACATTGGAATATATTTTGCAGTCAGGAAGTGTGGTACCTTTAGCTTTGCTCTTCTTGATCTATTCAGGTTCTTTCGTGGTCAGTATGAAATTTATGATTTTTTTCTTTTTCTGTAAAAAATGCCTTGGGATTTTGATAGGGATTACATTGAATCTGTAGATGGCTTTGGGTGATATGGACATTTTAACAATATTAAGTCTTCCCATTCATGAACATCAGATGTCTTTCCATTTATTTGTGTCTTTAATTTCTCTCATCAGTGATTTGTAGTTGTAAGTGTATACGTTTTTCAACTCTTTGGTTAAGTTTATTCCTAAGTATTTTATTCTTTTTGATGCTATAGTAAATGAGATTGTTTTCTTAATTTTGGATAGTTCATTCTTAGTGTATAGAAATACGGCTGATGTTTGTATGCTGATTTTTGTATTCTGCAACTTTACTGAATTTGTGTATTAGTTCTGATAGATTTTTGGTGGCATCTTTAGGGTTTCTACATATAAGATCATGTCATCTGTAAACAGTGATAATTCTACCTCTTCCTTTCTGATTTAGATATCTTTTATTTCTTTTCCTTGCCTAATTGCTCTACCTAAGACTTCCAGTTCTATGCTGAATAGAAATGATAAGCGTGGGCATTCATGCCTTGTTCCTGATCTTAGCAGGAAAGTTTTCAGTTTTTCACTGTTGAGTATGATGTTAGCTGTGGCCTATTCATAAATGTTCTTTATTATGTTGAGGTAAATTCCCTATAAACCTAGTTTGTTGAGAGTTTTTTTACCATTAAAGTGTGTTGAATTTCATCAGATTTTTTTTCTGCATCTATTTACTATGATCATGTGATTTTTATTGTTTGCTTTGTTAATGTAGTGTATCACATTAACTGACTTGCGTGTGTTGAGCCATCTTGGCACCCCAGCGATAAAACCCACTTGTTCATGGTGTGTGATTTTTTTAATGTGTTGTTGAATTTGGTTTGCTAGTATTTTGTTGTGGATTTTTGCATCTGTGCTCATCAGGGAAATTGGCCTATACTTTTCTTTTCTTGTAGTGTCTTTATCTGGCTTTGCAAACCCATTTTTTAAAAAACACGTTGAATTTTGAGATAATTGTACATTCCTATGCAACTGTAAGTAATAATATAGAAATCCCTCATATCCTTTATCCATTTTCCCGGGTGGTAACATCTTGCATAACTATAGTACACAGTCACAACCAGGGGGTTGACATTGATACAATCCACAGTTTTTATTCAGGTTTCATCAGTTTTACATATATTCTTTTTCTTTTTCTTTTTGTTGAATGTATATTTAGTCTATGCAGTTTTATCACGTGAGCCTACCATCACAGTCAA